GGGCAAACGGAACCTCCCTGGGATTGCAGAGAGCATGTTGTTTGTGGGGAGATGTTCTGAGGGTTTTTCAACTGTCTTTATGCAGGTATAATTATGTGTGTTTTGCAGTGTGTTTTAACATGCAGCATAGGTTCTAAGGGTCAGCTTAACAATTCATTAACTTTGTAGAGTGTCTAAAGGCATAGACTGTGTGCTTGATTCCCTTGAAGCTTAGAGCTGCGTATACCCTGGAAGAAATCAGTGTATGTTCTTTGTGTCAAATTCTAATGAGGTGCCATATGGAAAATTACGGAGACACTGTGTGGAGAAGAGAGGGCAGGAAACAAGTGCCTCTCCACATGATGCGCATGGAAAGCCCACTTTGCAGGCTTTCTGAGTAGAAGCTATCTGAAGGAGGGATAACTTGATATAGTGGTTCTCCTATTTTTTTGATGCAAAATCCTGATCAGAGAATAGTGATTTTATGCATACAACTTCACACAGTTGAATTGGATTCTAAATTTTGCAAAACAGTGAAATCTCTCTTCCCTGAGTTAGTGATAAAGGGAACATGAAATCTAGTCTCTGCAGCTCCAATGGCAGCAACCTTTTATAAATTGACTCATTTTTTACTTAAAAGAACAGCAGCCTTCAGAGATCTGTTTGCTTTGTCACATAATTTCAGAGCTGTAAAAATTGAAACCGGAGCTAAAGAAAATATTAAGCATTGTAGAATGAGTTCTGCTTTTCTGTTGTCTTTATTTTTTACTCTGCACTTATTTTTAGAGCCATGACACATATTTAAAAAAAAAAAAAAAAAAAAGAATGCTAGTAATTCAATCTAGTCTTGGGATATGGGGCATAATTTTCAAAAGCATGTAAGCTCCCAAAAAGGGGGTTGGGCACCTGGGCCAGATTCTCATGGTATGTAGCTGTCTAAGGACAGGAACCACTATCTTGTATATCTAACCTTACATTGCAGCTGGTGAGAGCTGGTAGCTGGTCACGCCTGAAAATCCCAGGGGTTTTCATGTGCAGATTTAGATACATCACAGAAATCTGATCCAAAGTATTTCAGATAGTGACACATTTTGAACATGGGAATTTTTAACTTCCCATTTATTTCCTTTAGAGAGATGTGCATTTCTCTATTTCTTGCTGCACCTTCCTCTGAGAATCTGAGTTGCACAAGCATTCACTGAGTTGGGAGGCAGGAAAGTATCGGGTTGATGCCAGAGTTGTGCAAGCCGAGGCATGAACAGGTATGATGAACTTGCTTTAAATCTGGGAGGTCTGTTATACCTGGGAGGAGAATCCAGGCTTCTCTGCTCCCAGTCCTGGTTCTGAGCACCCAGCCATCATTTGCAGAGCTCCAGCCCAGTGCGTGTAATGGGAGGGGAAGAGATAATCCAGAGGAGTGAAAGCTGCAAGAGCCACAGTGGAGAAAGCTGCTTAATCTGATGTCAGAGCATCAAGGGGGAGGCTTGATTCAATGCATAAAGCCACAAGAAATTGCAAAAGCCAAATCCTTTATGAAGATTTATTTAGAAAAACCACAATGCTGGGGAGTCACTGGTACATAGCATGGTAATTCCCTTCCTCTTGAGTAATATGCACCACACTGTGCGCATGCAATTACTTTTGTTCCAGAGATAACATCTTCATCTAGTTATACATGTACACATATGGTCCTTAGTGCACGCTACAATTCACATATATGTTAGGACATGCACAAAGTTGAGCTTTTCCATGAAAAAACTGTATAAAAAATACAAACCAAACCGAAGCTGTCAACATGAGAAGCAATGTGCAAAAATTGACAAAGTTACTCCTGAATGTTTGCTTAAGAAAGTCTTCTGTCCCTGTTCCCCATTCAGCATTGCATATGCCAGGTGTTGTTTGAAAGTAGAATTTAAAATAACTAGTCACATCCTGACCCCCTTTCACGTTGGTTGCAGAGACTTTAATCAGCTAAATAATCCTATATTGATATGAAAAATCTGCCTCCAAGCATCACCATTGTGTGCCATTGTTGTATTGAACAGATCCTTGTATTGTTGCAGTGATTGGCTTGTGATGCTCAAGGCCAGGTGACAACCAAGCCCTTGTGTGGAGCACACAGAGAAGGCAGGACAGAGATGTCCCTGGTCACCGAGCCCCCCGGCAGGGGCTGGAAGCAGCTGCCTGGAGAAAATGGCTGGGGCTTAGGAGTTCTCCTCAGGCATGCTGCAAGGAGCCAGACCTCCCAGGTCCCTGCCACGGGCTGTGCGGCTCCAGGCACTGTCTGCTAGTGCGTGGTGGGGCTGGTGTTTGAGATGACACTCTGGGTGCCTGAGGAATCCTCCCTTCAGAGGAAAGGTGCCTGTGCAAAGAGCGTGGCAGGCACAGGGACAGAGAGCCCACGGCGCCTTCCCCAGCCAGGTCCCCTGGTCCATGATGCAAACTGTAGCTGACATGAATGGAGCCACCTGACTGTATAATCACTTGTGTGGCGCTGAGCAAAGCTGTACAGCATGACATGCTGCAGACATCACGAAGCAGCCAGACCAATCCATCCTTGTAAAACTGCTGCATGCAAATACCAACACCTTAAATGGCAATTAAGACTAGAAATGGATTGCACTTGTTTCCCTTAAACTTATATGCGTACCAGCCTTTAAAAAAAAGTAACCAATAAAAAAAAAAATCTTTAAAATACATTAAAAAAAAAAAAAGATTGATGGTTGGGATTCCCTTGGTTGGATCAAAGGAAAAGAAGAAAATAGGGGCAGTGTGATTCTAACCACTGAAGTTTCAGTAACCATAATCTTCTGGTTTTGGGGATGGGGATTCTTCCTACCCATGAGACTAGATGCTGCAAAGCCCAGTATCCCCCTGGTAATCCACATGTTTTTTAAAGACTGTTTATTTAAGCCCATGCAGAGTTATGACTGTTATAGAACTTGTCAATTTTTTTAATGGGATATCAAAGTTTTTCACAGTAAATCCTGCATGGATCTAGGGAAAAATCTCAGCAAGGCTCCCCTGTGTGTTATGTTTTTTACTTGCAAAGCAAAGGTTTCAGTCTTATTTTGAGGAAGGGAGGGAGAGATGGAAATTGTGAAGACTGAGAGCTCTCTAGGGAAGTAAGCCTGGATACTACACTTTAGATCCCATCTCAGCAGACTACTTTAGCAAACTATTTTAAGTGGGATTTAAGTGTATGTTATTCAGTTTGGACCCCAGTATGAAGACCAGTATCCAAAAGGAAGAGTGTTGCCTTGGACCTACTAATTTCCTTTGTAAAAGGCACAGAGGGAGGGTTCATCCAGTTAGCTTGCACTCCAGCTCTGGTCACGAAAACATCACTCAGGGAAGTATGTCAGACATGTACCGGCTGCTCTGGGGGCTCCCCAGTTTCTAATCCCTGGATGCCCAGCTGCACAGTGGGTCACAGCTCTCCCCCGGGTCAGGAGCATGCTGCAGTGACCATGACCTCCAGCATTGTCCCATCACCTGGGTGAAGGAAGCAGCGCTTCATCCCTGTTGTGCTGAAGGAGCTCTTGGAGGAGAGGCTGGTGTTTCCCAGGTAGCAGTGTTTGCCCCAGGTGTGTTTCTGCAGCTTTCTGAAAGCATTGGTATGCGTGACACACCTAACCTGAGTCTCCCTGAGCTCTCACAGCATGTGTGTGTGCAACCAAAATGAACCTCTGGCTGTTAGAGACAACTGTTGGCAATGATAAAACAGTGGTAGAGAATAGTTTTAGACTGTAAAATACACAAAATGAAACCTCAGACCGAATTCTTACTAAAACTTTGGTGCTGTTGAGCATTGGGGTTAGCTGCTTCTTCACAAGTGTTTTCCACTGGGTTAAGATTATGTCCAGTGTCTGAGTTAAGGCCCTGATTTAGCAAAGCTTTTGTGCATATGCTTAAATCTGCCCTTATTCAGCTAAGCACTGACACAAATATCTAAGTGCCTTGTGATACAGGGACAAACCTGAACTGGAGCTTTTAAATGTGAATTATGTAGTTGTCACAACTACTCTTTTAATATGTTTTCCTGGTAGCACAGCTGCTCTCCTGGATTAACTATTTAATTAATCTTTATCTAAAAGGTCCTGAGAACAGTTCTATAATACTACCAAATGTACATAAATACCAGAACTAAAAAGTCAAACACATGGCTCAAAGCAAAACAAATATTGCTCAGAATACTTGTTTAGATTAATAGCTGTAAACTGTGCATTCTAGTAGCAAATCAAAACCTGTTGGCCTAGGAAAAAATCCAAAACATTCAGTCTATAGGATTGGCAGCACTAACATTACAAGGTGGAGTAAGGATAACAAATATCAGTGTAGCATTGCGAAACAATCCACCTAAGCTTATGTAAACAAATAGGCTTTGACAATGTTTATATGTCTAGGCGTGATCCTGCACTTGGACCTGGATGGGTGGAGACCCAAGAAGGTAGAAGGGCGCTGTTCCAGTGTGGGTCCAGGTGCCCAGACCCCACTGCAGGACAGAGGCTCAAAGGTGTGATCCTGCAAACCTCTACTGGCATTACTAGTTCTACTCCTGGGAGCATCCCGGTGCAGGATTCAGTTCGGCAGGACTATAAGTAAGGATTACTCACATAAGGCATTGCAGAACTTGGCCCTAATATTTCTATTTTCAGCAGAGAATCCCTTATCCATACACAAGATCATATTTTAAGATCTCAAAAAGTCTGTAAAATAAGGGTAGGAGTCACTATATGTTATGCTCAGTAACACACTTAAGATTCTGCATATTGACCTCAGATATTGCAAAACATTTTTTTCATTAAAATCAAACCAACTATGAAACTTTCTCATAAAAATTAAATTAACTGCGAAAGTTAAAAATGAACAGGCTATGTTTTCAAGGTTAAAAGGAGACATTAACAGAAATGAGCAACTCCCATTGTAATGGTTTTCCAGTGCATTCCCTTCTGACCAGTGAACACTCTGAGACTGCGGTTGTTGGCTTCCAATCTTGCCTCACATCCTCTGTGGTGTGGCTACTGCCGCTCTCCTTCCACCCGCTTTTTACGAACTAGACCAATAAAATAAGAGAAGAGCAGTCGTTATTGCTTTCCTGAGAGCCTAAGGACTTTTCTCACTGACACACTCCCTTCCCAGTAACATGAATAGGAGGGAAGGAGCTTCTAAGAAATACTCAGCTGGATTATGTCCATAAATGCTGTATTAACACATTTTAATGCTAAATAAAACCATTCTATCAAAACTGTACTTTTCTGTATCACAGACTGTAGAATTTCACCAAGTATTCACATCAATACATTTTCTATAAAAATCAGATTCTGAGCTAAAGGTTTTAGATGATGAAGAAATCACCCTTTCAGTGCTTCCTCCCAATGGTTCCATTTAGATTTTTGTTACAGTTTTATTGTTCTTTTAAAAGGCACTGTGTTCCAGCTAAGTTGACACTGGTCTGCTCTAGTCTGCATGGCAGTGCTCTGCATTATTTAAACATTATGCATCAAAAATTAGTAACTCTTGTAATTGCACAAGTGTATACTATAGATAAGCAATAATCATACCCTTTTAGAAAATAATTTGAAGCACTCTTAAGTAGTGATATCAGTGAGTATTGGCAACAAGGAAAACATTACATTGGACCTTAAATTTGCTGTTTAAACGTCACATGGTCCGATTGCGTCAACCATCTGGTAGTATATTAATTAACTCTGGATTCTCGCTAGAAACCAAGTAGGTTGAAGTTGCCACTTAGCAAAGCAGAGAGTGATGAGCTTTGTGTTATGGGCAGGATTATTTTGACAAGCAGCCCCATGTGAATTTTTACAGCACTTAGGATACGTTACAGCTGGTATAGAGTAGGCTTAGTTGGGCAGCATTTGCTACTCCATACTCTAATAAAAATGTATTGACTCTTCTCGGTCTTGGCCAGAGAGGATTACTGAGGTTCTTCTGTTTGTGTGATACAAAACTTGGGGTTGCATCAAACTCTCATGTCCTGTTTCTGATATTGAACTGCTGAAGTACAGAACAAAAGCAGTAAAACTGGATGGATGAATGAATGCTTTTTACTACAGAAAGTCAATAAAAACAGTATGTTACTATCAGGGGGGTTTACTTCTTAGTGCTTTCTTGGCAAACAGACTGCATTATTCCAAAGCCTACAGTGTAGCATCAGTCATTTGTGTCTGCTTTCAGTGTTTTGTTGCTTCCTTTATTTTACTGAATTCTGTCCTACTAAATCTTGAACAAAACCATGCAATATAAAAGCAGGGAAATGAAGATTAGGTGCAGGACATACGTCTAATGGCAACTGGTTTAAACAGTGGAAAAAAAGCGGTCTTTCTCTCTTTGTTGGTGGGATGTTTCCAATACCATTCTGGGACACTAACAGGTTCAGAACCAATAGTATATCACTGGAATGCTTAGGTACTGCTAAAAATTAAAACTGGAAAAAAAAAGTATGCGTGAAAGAAATAGGTTCTAGCTGAACTTTTATCTTAGTTCTCACAGAGAGAAACCCAAGCTGAAGCCAGCAAAGGCATCGTGGTTTGACACCCCTCTTTGAAGCAGAATTGATTAAAAAACATAGTTAATTTTTTTTCCCTTCTTGCTGTAAACTACTGCCTAATCATCTTCTTGTTCTGTGTATTGAGTGCAGAGCATGTCACACTCAGGTAAAACTTGCAAAGCTTTGTCTTTGCCTGTACTTGGTCACACAGGCAGGAAAGTCTTTTTCTGTTCCCTTGGTCGGGCGGGCTTGGTCTGTCATGGGTAGGGCAAAGAGGCGAGGACTTCTGTGTTCACTGAACAAACAGGATGGGTTTGGCTCTCTATTTACTGGCCAGAACAGCTGACAGGGCAGCCAGAAATCCAGGGTGCTCCATGGAAAGGGCTGAAGTAACTCCCCTTCCCAGGAGTGGGAGAAGGAGAAGAATAATAGTGGCTCCTAATCACAGTAAGATCTTTGCTGTTGTCTACCCTGGAGTCCATGGAGCTGTGCATCACCCCTCACGTATAGCAGATTGAACATTTAGAGTTAAAAGTCAATCTCAGGAAGAGTTGTGTCTAGGAAAGTCAGGGCTTGGCTCGCATAAACAAGTGATGAGTAGATGTAGTAGCATCTTACCCAAATCGTTGTTCTTAGTGATAGCTGCTGCTACCCTGGTTCTTGGACCTTGCTTTGTGAACTGGTATCCAAACTTGAGAATCTTGGAGTTCTCCTCCAGCATCTTGGCAATCTCCATCTCTACAGCTGTCCCAAGCTGCTGCCTCTGTTGGTTATGTGGTGAAATGTCCCCAAAAGAAAAGAAAATATTTGTTTTCATATGAGAGAGAAGTGGTGGTTATATTTCAGTACTGTGCTGCAAACTACAGAGAGAATCCTATCCCTAGAGATTTTGCTCTGGGTTTTATATTTGGCTTTGACTGGTTTTATTTGGAAGTTTTCCACTGTTTGGTTGCACATGAGCTGCAAAACGACTGAGCCACAGAGGCTGCCTTGACTTTGCCAGAGCTCTCTAGGAGAACCCTCTGGGAATCCATATGGAAGAGAAACAAAAGTGGACTCACTCAGTGCTCTCTCTTTACCTGGTTGTCAATTTTAATCTCTGTCAGGGATTCATTCTCTTTCAGTGCATCAATCAGTGCCAAAATACCCGTCCCAGTGATGAAGTTGGATTCTACATTCAGACTCTTCAGTGTTTTGTTCACTTTCAACATATCTGCAAATGCCTGAGGGGTCAGAAAGAGGGAATATGAGACAATGTCTTGAGAGCTTCAGGGAATAACAGAGAAACTGCAAAACATGGCTTAGTACCTACAAAGAAATAAAACACAAATAGGCTTAGAAGAACATAAAGGTAGATCAGAAGAGGTTACACTTCTACTTTGTACATTCACAGGGAAATTCTGCAAGGGAAAATGAAGAATGCATCCTGAAGCGGACATAGACCTATTTAAAATTTGTGGGGGTTTTTCTAAATAGTGTTTAAACTTACAATAGCTACGGGGTCGTTGCTTCGAGTGGCTGCAAGGCTGAATGTCTTCACATATGTATTGCTTTCCAAAGCTTTTGCAAATTCCTTCAGTGTTGGAATAGGAATATTCTGCATTAAGAAGATAAAGCCAGTAATTAGGAAAGCCAGTCACATAACTAGACACTGACTTTAATTATTATCAAACTGATTGATTAATAGTCACAATCTATGCAATTTAAACATACCCAGTGCTTTTAAGAGTATCTTGGAATACACAATGCATACTCTGCTCACAGTGGCCTTCAGAGACCCGTGCTAGGATGTGATGTCAGCACTGCCGTTAATTGGGTCAGGCCAATGCAAGCACGTGACCGATCTCTGAGCTACTTTCCTATTTTGCTGCTGGTTGTTCAGTCTCTGCATGCTAGCTCCTCCTCCATTTGCATGTGTGGGCTAATTGAATTTGGCCAGTGATGATTATATAGTGCCCATGAGATATCTTGCTTTACAATCTGCTCAAGGCAGGCAGCCAGAGGGAGTCACCCCTTGGGCTCTTCATTGGCATCTAATTCAGTATCAGGCATTGACAACCTTGGAGCCTCTATAACAGTTCCCTCCACACCCTTCTTCCTGTGTCCCCTGCTTTTTCTGAACGGGAGAGAGAGACAAAATTTGAAGATAAAAGGCAAGGGCTTTGGAAATATTTGAATAAACCCTCCTATGATGACATAAATGAAATCATAGCATCTACCTTTATGTTGTTGAGATTAATTTCTATGAGACTAGGATCATTTGCTTTTATCCTTTGTAAACTTGCTTCCACGTTGGTCGGATTAGGTGGCTCCTCAAAGATGGGCTTGACTTTTTCACCTTTCACCACATCTGCAACACAAGATCTCATGAAATGTTGATGTGAGGAATAGGCATCATCAGTAACGATCTGGCTTTTCAATTTCCATTTAGGTTTGTACTGTAGCAGTCAAGAAAGGATTTATGAACCACAAAACTTGGAAATAGGAGAATTAGCCCTGTTACCGCTGCCGCGCCCTTTGCACCTTCTGGGCATCCAGAAGTGTCACTGGCTGGAGGCTGCAGTCACAGCGGCTGGGCAGTATCGTCACGAGCAAATTCCTCTTTTCTGTACAGAAGTCCTAGTACAATTAATCTGAGCCAAAGGAGCTTTAAAGACTAATGTATAGGATGTAATATACTCTAAGGGCTGCTTTGTTCTTTGTGTAACACCTGTAAAAGAAGGTGTGCTCAGAACTTGCCCACTACATTAGCGAGAAAATGTCCCTGCACCTGTGTGTAGACTTTGTGAACATAAAGGAATGCCATCAGGAGGTCCCTCAGTTTCCTTCTCTAAGCTGATGCTATCAGCCTTACTATAAATTCAATTAGCTCTTGTAAAATTGCAACATCTGCACTTTCTAAATAATAAAGCTATCAAAGCATGAAAAGCAAGTCTGCCTGCCAGCACCAAGATTTATGAAGTCTTTGAGTATTCATGCTCCAAAGAGATACAGTTTTTAATGTTGGCAGCTACGAGCTATAAATATTCTTAGAAATGCATAAAAATCAAAGTTCAGAACACAATTAGTATTTCTAATTCCCACGCATATAGTTGTGGAGATTAATTTATAAGCCCTGACCACCCAAGCCACTAGAGGCAAGAAAGGAATATGTTACTGACCACAAGTATGTTTTAAACCCTTTTACTTCATGCTGCAGTGAGTTATTTTGAAGATTTGTGCTCAAGTTTCAATGTACTACGCATTTCTGTTCAGTGCAATGGGTAAAGTTCATGCCATATCATAGGCCAAAAGAAAAATATTTTTTAGAACTCGTACTCTTAGCAGAGATGAAGTCATACACAAACCTCGAGCTGGTTTTCACTCTGCTCCCTTTTACCCTGAACTCTTTTTGTTCGCTAATTCCCTGAGAGACCTCACGTATGCCTGAATAACACCCCAGCCTTCCTAGGGAGCAGGAAATTGAAAACTACTGGTAAATGTATATAGAGAATTCACTCGATCTTGGAGGCAAGGATGGAAAGTGAAGGAGAAAAAAAAAAAAGGCAGCAAAGCATTTTTTTCACTTGTGGGGACACCCTGCCAAGCTGGGAGCTAGAGAGAGACTTGCTCCCTGTCCTGAGGTTAGATCCCACAGTATACTCAGTCCAGAGTTAGCAGTATTTTTCACTTTCTACTTCTTGTTGCTTCCCATGAATTTTATCTTGTTTTTTTAATAATGGAGCTGTTTTGCCACATTGATGGGCAATTTTGAGATGTCTCCCTCTTTTACTGAAGCATTTCACTTGGCTAAGAAAAGGTATTGCTTTTGGACCAAAGAAAAAAGTGATGTGACAGTGATTTTCTGGTTCTTAAGTCTGTGATTGGAGCATAGTTTAGCTGACTCACATAGCTGACATTTTGACTCTGTACAACAAAAATAATCTGAAATCTATGTGGATTAGTAATGCATGCAGTTGCCTGTTATGAGATAGATGGCAGCTTGGACAGGGCCCCACTGGGGAGGCTTGCAGAACAGTCTTAATCCTGAGAAAAATGAAGTGACACAGTGTCCTGTCTACTTTCCCACCTCCCCTTTAGTAAAGAAGGATGGAAATGAAAGTCCTCGGTAAAAATAGCTGCTGTTCTTACGGCCTTACAAGAAGAAAACATTTTTTGAGTACTACTTCCCTGGAAAAGAGCATTCCACAATTTTGTCTTAAAAAGCAAAGTTTAGCCCACTTGATATCCCAGAGCTTGGAAGTGATGAACTCTGGATCGAGGCTTGGCAGCTCTCAAGAAAAGCTTGGAATTCAGATGTACTGATTGCCTGCCCCATCCAGCCTCCTGTCGGTTGCTGAGCTAAGACCTGATTCACCAAAGGTCCACTTATTCAGTGCAAACATTTCTGGATTTGTTTTTAATAACTACAGCTGTTTCTGCTGGGGGATTTCCTAAACGATTACTCTTCCCATATACCTAAGGAGCCGTATAACAGACAATGTTTAAACACGCTGCCGCGGGACTAAGCTGGAGGTTGTAGATCAGAGAGGGTAGCCAGGGCAGGAGCACATCCACACGGTCCTTGCGTCGCTGTGAACACGGCTTGATGTGACTCCGCCAGGGATTCTGCCACGTTCAAACCCCGTGGTCAGATGTCGTTCTGTGCTGTGGCCACCTCTTAGCTACAGCTCGCTGCTTTCTGTCCACTGCCTGCACTGAAGTGGGATAAAAATACATATGTCTTGGCTTCTCAAATACTCCTATCTTTTCAAGCACCTCTGCAGAGCCAGATAGATATTGCTCTCCAGGAAAACAAAGCTCCTCAGGAATGATTTATTTGCATAGTGCTGCTGTTATCATACATAATGAATTTTAAGAGTGTATTTACTTTAAAGAGCTCCCCTCATGATTAATTATATCAATCAACACAAGGCCCTGTTACATTACACTAAATTAGACCAATACACCCAACCTATAGGTGTACAAGTCCCTAAAGATGACATATAGCCCACAAGAGAAATCTGCTTGCTTACTTCTCACGGTGCCTTTTCCATCTTTACTGCGGGCTCCTCCTTCATCAAATTTTGGGTTGTTGACCATGTTGTGCACTCCAAGAACAGCTAAAATGTGTAAATACCAGCAACAGGATACAATGTTAATGGTAGGTGCAGACACTGCAGAAAAAAAATCTGCTATGAATTCTAGTTTAGTTCCCCAAACAAAAGCCTCTTTACAAAATGTTAACTCTGAGTCATGCTTGCTTGTAGGGAGAGTCTTTAGAGGCCTAAACACTGCAGATAGACAGTTTTAATATAGGTTTTTGAACAGCTGAATCAATGTAGTATGCATATCACAGAAGTGCCAGCTGGAAGGAACGGCTGCGGGTCATCTTGTCCAGCCTCCCTCTCAAGCAGGAGTGTTGCCAGCATTAACCAGGTCAGCCATGGCTTTGTTCAGCTGGATCCTCAAAACATCCGGGGATGGAAATCCCACGGTCTCTTGGGGTAACTAGTTTCAGTGCTACGCTCCTAATTATTATTATTTTTTTCCCCTAATATACAACCTGAACCTCTTACTGCTCTTTGTTGTATTGTTTGGCATATTCAAGAAGAATTTGACTGTACATGTGGTTAGCTTAATAAATTGGTTTTCACACAGGGGTTTCTTATAGAAGCATATGGATGCTGGTGTGCTTGGAAAATAAAATATATATTCCAGGACTTTAAAATAAATAGTGAGGATATAAACTATTATGAGAGAAATGACAAAAGAAACCAAAACTCCATAAAAGAAGCTGCAAAGTTATCTTTTGTGCAAATGAACTTCCATAGCGTCAGAGAATAAATTGTTCGCTGTATTCGCTGATACTTCTCCCATAAATTATCTAATTGGATTTTATTCTATAGGATCATGCATTAATTAAAAGTTGCTAACTTGATGTAGATTTTTACTTTCAGCATCAGTTTTTTCTTATGGAAAATAGTCTGTTCTTTAAGCAAATGACTCTTTAGCTGCTGTTACAGACTGTTTTCAGAACTCTGGGCAGTAGGTGTGCTACTCGCTGTTTTTCATTAGACTTCGATACCTACAAATTCTGTCATGAATGGCTGGATACTGACCAGAGCTGAGCAAAACTTGGAACCTCATCCCATGAACTTCAGATTTCCTGAGAAGTGCCAGCTGCATTATAACCCTGTGATACACCACATTTCAGTCAGAGCCAAGGCTAATGTATCTAGAAATGGTGGTGTAGCCAAGAATTACAGAAGATAATGGGAAGATCATATCCTTCAATAGGACAATATAGTAGCTACAAGAGTTTTGAGTTTAATGTTGATCTAACCCAGATTCAGATTAATCTAATATGCTGAAATATTTCATTTAGATTTTCCTAGTGAAAACAAAAAAAATTGTCAATATAGTTGCAATTCTCGTACCAAAAGTTTTGTATACATGAGGGCCCAAAAAGGTAGACCATGGACCTCAGAGAGCCCAGGGTAGGATAGGATCCACTCTGAACTGGGTGGACAAGGCAGGAGATGTCAGCAGTCCCATAGGGAGGTCTCAACACTAGCTTGAGCAGGGTTTTAGGATGAGGACCCATTGACATTAATCTCACTAACCCTGGCTGGTTTGCTTCTTCCTAAATTAGGGATTCAGATGATCTTCTACTAGCATAAACATATGACATATCCGTGATACTAACTGCTTGAAAGTCACAGGCAGCTCAAGAACTACAGATTAGTCTTTGTTATGCTGTAGGTTCAAATGTTATTTCTGCAAGTGGGTACTCTTCAAAATGATTTCCTTTGTGCACACTCTAGAACATGAGGTTATACTCTGGATTCAAGGAAAAGAATTAAAAGTGGTGAAGATACCCAGGTCTAATCAGCTGGCAACCAATTTTCTGGTTCAAGGGGTTAGATTCCAAATTTCCTCATGGATGCAGAATCTCCATCTATTGCATCCTGTAGCACATTCATCCTGCCATTTGGGGTGTCAGAGTTGAGGAGGTAGCAATGGTACGCTACAAACAATGCAGATACAGTAAGATGAGTGGTCTCCACTACAATGCAAACACCCCAGCCTGCAGTCTACCATCTACCCTTCCTTTGCCCAAATCATATTAGTGGGTTCAGCTTCTCCCCTTGCCTGCCACATCAATCATAAGTAGATGAGGGAAGTCTAAAACACAGCAGCTGTCGAGTCACACTTGAAGTCATCATGGGCAGTGTGTGGCCCATAGGTAGGCCACCTGTCTGTATAGTGAAATAGCAGGTACTTGAGATGATCGTGAGACACTCCTGGGGGCAGGTCCAGGCAGAGAAGGACTGGATGTGTAGGGGGATCGCAGCTATATGTTAACTAACCTGCAAGGTCATAGAGCTCAGTATCTGAAGCGCTGGCCAGGGCTTCTTCTAGTTCCGGATCCAGGGTCACTTTTTCTTCTGTACGCGTTTCTATGGGCTTTTCTTTAGGGATAAATATTTTTCCTAAGAGAAGAAAAAAGCCACAGTGAGTAATGAATTATTGGAACAACTCCTCTGCCTCCTGGCAGTAGGGGAATAGGTCTGTGACAGTGGAACTGCCTGGAAATACCAAGTGTGTGTTTTCCTCTTTCTTTCTTGATGCTGTCCTCCATACCAGGATCTTAACAGAATTTAAAAATAAAAGGTGCAGACTTCTGCTCTGTGTTGGTGATTGTTAATGTGGAAACAAATTTCCTAAAATAAATCCCCAGGAGCAGTCACAGCTAGAATTTTTCTGAAGTTCCTGTGGCCTTAAATAGGCAGAATCAGGTCTATACAAAAAGCTTGCAGAAATTTCATCCTTTCATTTAAATGAGGTACCAGAAGCAGTTAAAACTATCCTACTGCAGGAACCTCTCAGTTTACCAAATTCCATACCAGAGCCTGAAAGCTCAGCAAACCTGTTCTCTTCCGGTCACTCAGTTTAATTCCCAGCCTCTCCATGAGCGTTTCCCCTCTGTGTCTCCTCACGCTCATTCACATAAATAGCTTTATCCTGATCATCTGAGCAGGCCTGAAAAGTCTGAACTGAACTGAACCAGATGTTCCCCAAGAAAGACTCCTGACCTATTTGTCCCTCCTTGTATACTGCTGTTACATTGGGGTTAGCAGGTGTGTGTTTCCATGCGATATTCCCCAAGACAGATCATCAGCCCTTCTGCTGCAATGAGCAAACTGTAGGATAAATCCAGAAACACCACAAAATGTCCCATTCCTCCTTTAGCCTGCTATTACAGTTACCCTCAGCAGTGTGATGATGTAACTGCAAATGCTTGGAGCAAGAGCCTTGAAATCAGAGCTGGGGCTGCACATCAGTCACCAGCGCTGCTCGGGCTTTTCTCCTGCTCATCACCGTCCTGTACCAAACCCATACAGTCAGTAATATATTAGATGATGCCACATGCAACAGACGGTGTCATTGCTCCAGTAATTCTGTGAATTCCCATCTTGTACTGTCCGCTGCAGACACCTTGCCCCTAACAACTAGTTCTCAAGCAGGCTTTAGTTAATCCCATTGTAATGAAGCTGTGATGACCTTTGGATGCAGGTGGCTTTGGCCCACTGTCAACTTTAAATTGTCTTCTAGTGCAGCTTTGTACACTCTAGATGTAATGCTTGAAGCATCCTGTCGCTTTCTGAAATGTCTCTAAAATAGTTTCATTTTAACTGTATTAGCGGTATTACTTTGTTACCATGAATAAATGCAGTTCTGCTATTTAGTGTTGAACTATAGATGCTTTGCCTCTGGTTTTGCAACACTGTCATCCTTTTGTGGCTTAATTTTTCCCCATTATGGTCCAAAGTATCATTTCCATGTACACAATAATACCCAATTCATTGATCACTTTCATACAAGTTTGCCTACAGCAATTTCTATACTATCAGCTTCCATGAGTGAGGTTACTGAATAAGGTCAGAAAACAATTTTAATGGTAATTTCTGAAACTCTGGCATCGTTTACTAATGCAAGATTTGAATTATTTACTCTAGAGATATTTGTACTAAGGCTAAATAATTTCTGAGTACAAAACTGGACAGAAGGTTATGTAGAAAGACAAAGTAGTATCACATTATGATTCATTTTCCAAGCCTTTGCGGGCCAAAGGTAGGAATCATTTCACTTTCACCATGCACTGGGTGATAGGAATCAGAGACAGCCATCTCAGCAACATCAAACAAAAGTCAAGTTGGAAATGTGGGCTAGAAATACTCTCTGAATATAGATTAGTCACACTCTCCAGATTTCATAACAGGACAGGTGCTAGGATTTCAGACTCTCTCTGTACTACCACCTAATCTGAAGTGTTGGATGGCAACTTCCAGACACCACTGGCCAAGATTTAACTTGATGCCAGCTTGACTGGTAAGGATAACACTTAAGAGAAAAAAATCATGACTATGTTGGAAGCTAGAAGAACAAAATTAATCAGAATATCTCAGTAAACACTCAATAGTGAGGACTACTGTTCATAAAATATTTCCTTTCAGATCACTGGTGATTCCACATGAGTTTCAAGTAATCAGTAGGTCGTCTGAGATCTTGAGGGAATCCTACTTATCTTTAATCCTGACTGATAATACTATCCCCTCACAGCTATACTCCACAGAGCCATAGCTCACACAAAACATCTCCATCAGGCAATGTGTGATTCTTCGCAGACCCAAACCCCAGCCAGACTGTTGACAAATACTGACGGAAGTCTGTACTTTCACATATAACGTTGTAAGGGGACACAGGACCTGGAGTCTTGTGTAAACTGGACATGCTATGTACTACAGTTGGTCCTTCTCTAGGGACTTTGGATGTGGGTAGGCCAAGTATCTTGTGTAGCAAGAAATCCAGGGGTAATGGAAACCAGTTCAGGCTTATACTTTTTCCGTGCAGTTCACATACATAGGAATACAATTTTTAAGCATTTGTTTCAGGCATATGTAATTCTTGGATGGCAGCCCAAATCTTTTAAAATGTGTATATGACTCCCAATGATAGTTTCATTTAAAACATTCTTGGCAAATGTTGTAGAAAAAAATTCTATTACTGGTTATATGAAATATTTAAAGGAGCAAGGTCATGTCAAAGATGGTAATATATATCTTTAATAAATGTGGGCCTTGCTGTTGTCCAGTGGCATGTTAAAAATATTCTTTTTTTCTGCTATCTAGATAAGAACATTCTTTTGCATTATCCCACTGTGAAGAGATGCTGTAGCATAGCAGATGGAGGTTAGAAGAGCTTATACGTTTAGCACGTTATTAGGAATTTGTTACCTGTCCACCGACAGTAAAACTGTCTGTCTGTACTTACAGATGGCTGTCAACAAGTTTTCCTTCATTATTTTAAGGACAGGCTTTAAAGATCCAGGAGCTCCCTCCTAGTCCCCCATCCGTACATTGTGAATTCATTATACAGTGCCATCATGGAATTCACTGACAAAATAAAATATGGGTTGTGGTTTGCTTGTTTCGATGGCCCAGCTTAAATTTAAAATTTATGATTTGGAAGAAGCCTCGGAAGAATAGCGACGTTTTATTACTTTAAAGTGAGATTTATGACGGAAGGCTGCTGCTCTTGGTGTTCTTTATATTCACACTGTATCTTAGAAGGTACTTTATTATAACATTCTACGTGGTATGATTAATGGTGGCTGTGTTACATTTTGCCTCCAGAATATACTAATGTCCTGTGCTAAGTCTTAATAGTAATAGCTTATCTTTCTACCAATGAAAAACAGAGTGACAAAAGTTATGTTTATACATACCATACTTGAGCTACATCAGTGTTAACAACAGTAAGAGAACCACATTTGTGTACACTTGTAATATATTATTGTGTTTAACTGCAAAACAAAATTCAATTCCAGTTAAAAAAATAAGTAACCATTAAAATGTAATGTTATTTTTACACAGGCATATAAACCCAAAATATCTGGAATCCAAAGAGCTTTTTTTTCAACATGAAACTTTAAGTGCAAATCAATGCAATTCTCCCCTTCTTTCTGTCGAACTGGGAGAAGTGCCTGGGGTGACCTGGATGACGACCCCGGGGATTTTCTGACTGTGAGTGGAGCGAGTAGAGATTTGTCCAGGCTCAGTCTAACAGCAGACCTACACCTTTTCGCACGCTGCAAAACTGAAAGATGATATGGTTCATCTTTTACTCAAAAGAGGCTCGGGGGGGAAATCCATTGAAAACCAGGGAAGAAGGATTCAGTAAAAAAAGACTACAGAGACACATAGAAATGCAGAGTGAGATAAAAGGAAAGCCAATTCTGTGAGAAAAAGAAATACCCTGGGTACTGTCATGAAAACCATAGACCTAATTTTGCCACTTGGTTTCAGCAAGCTCTGATCTCCTGCATTACGCAAATGCCCCCATTAAAGCAATGTCAAAGTAAAGCAAGGAAATGAGACGTATCACTAACTTCAGCTCCTTACACAAGCATAGTTACCTACATAACCACGTATGCACATCCATAGGAAATGCATTCATTGAGAGGGAACTACTTCAAGTGTATTTTCCTGAAGTAAGTTTATTTGTTTATTGTTATTGGGGGAGGGGGGGAGATTTTAATAGCACAGTTGCTAGGATCTTACTAATGTAGCCAAAACCAGCACACCAATCTAAAAAACATTTTGAGAATTTATCTTCATTTATACTTTACAGCATTTGGAACGTAATTTCTGGTGTGTCTTCTCTCTGTCTTCCTTCTTATGTCATTAGACTTTTGTGAATAAATATAAATTGCCACCATTTTTATTTACTATAAATATTTAGTATTTATTCCCACTTTGTACAAGTCAAAATTGAACAAGCCAAAACTCAACAAAGCACAGAGCAATGGGAAATAAGCCCATTTATACTAGCTGTAAAAATGTCCTTTTATTTAAAAATCAGTTTTATTAAGGATAGTTACTTAATTTTATAATACAAATGCATTTTTTGTCATAATTGTAAAAGAATAACATACTTTCTTTTCCTATAAACTGTAGTTCATACTATTGTACTTTCAAGAAAATATCTGGTTACACTTATTACTTCTTACTTTTCAGTGAATCACTGACTACAGTGAGTGCCTGTTTATTCTCAATTGCAAAATGCTACACTGACCTTAGAAGTGAAATTCAATAATCTTGGAAATCTGCCTTGCATAAATCACAGGCACCTGATTCACTTTTTCCATTTTGCACTACTCTTTTTTTGAAGCTTACTTAAACTTCTCTACAGAGTTCTATGAAAAAGGAGCTAAATTAGTTCTTATCAGGAAGAAATTTGTATTATGAAGAAGAAAACAGGCCAAATTCAAATAAGCGTGAGGCTGAAAGCTAGCAGTAATTAAAATGCAGTATCATAATTGCTGCTGTACTGTTACTCTTGGATTAGTGTCTGCATATTCTATGCCTTAAAAATTATGATAATGGCATAGGAAGGCTGCAGAGTTAAGCTTTCCAAAGTTATTAAATCC